ATGGTACTTTTGAAAGTGCTAATTTCTTCAAGAAGTTTGTAGACAGGAACAGCCTTCAGTCTTTGCTCCGTACTATCTTCCCTGTTCTGTGAGAGCTCCAATTCAGGCCAGATTAAAGTTTCAATCATTCAGGCAGCTCCCAGACCAATCAGGATAAACACACTGAATAGTCTTCCAACAAAATATGTCCTGTTCACTTCAGAGCCAGAAATTGGTGACTTCTTTGTGAATACTAGCCATGGTTTGGCTTCAGCTTTGCTGTGGCTGTCTGGCTGCTTTGCAAAGAGAGGGAGGAGTGAGGACAGTAAAAATTTAGGTTTATCTACTGTTAAAAAGTTGACTTTTTCTTGCTTCAATTTGCAGGTTATTGTTGCAGTCCTCTGCCTACTTTTTCAGAGTTCTTACAGAGTTGAGTACAGATTTCTAGTTGCTTTTCTTGGTGCTCTTGTGGGAGTGTCTGGAGCATAGGCCTGCTCCTGCCACCATCTTCCCAGAAGTCTCTTTCTTCCTTTTTAATGTAGAGATTTAGAGCTATAAATTTAACTGTAAGCTCTGCCTTTATGACATCCCATAGATTTTAGTATGTTGTGCTTCCATTTTCATTCATCTTTAATAACTATTTCTGATTCCTCATATGATTTCTTTCTTGACTCACTGGTTGTTTAATAGTGTGTTTTTAATTTAATGTGGTGGTTACATTTTTTGTATTAGGGCAGTTAAAATTGGAAAAAGACTCTGTCATCTGGCCATGTTTTAAGTCCTCCTTGCTACTTTGTTTTACTCAGGGTCCCAGCAGTAATGAGAACTCTCACTCAGAGGTTAATTAAAGAATTGTAAAGGGATGATATGCAGAAGTATGGAGAGGAGCCAAGAAAACAACAAAGGAAAATAAAGCATCCAGGAGCTAGTCTTAGTTGGAACACCACCTCCTCTGAACCTGAAGGTCAGGAGATGGAGTGATGTGGACAGAACAAGGAGAGCACAGCAGCCATTGGACAGGGGCTGCCCACAGGATCTGTGTCCTTTGGTGGAGGAATGCAACCATTTCTCAGACCTAGACTGGTATGGGCAGGGTCATACATATTCTAACCGTTTTTCTCTCTTGCCTTGCTTCCTTGCCTCTCATGGACTCAATCCAACAGGAAGTCAAAAAACAAGGGAGTCAGGGTAATGCAGTCTGGAGGGAGTCGATAGGAGGGCAGGCAATGGATCTACAGGGTCAAAAAAAGACTAAGGAGCACAGACTCTGGTAGCAGCAACACTTACTGCTCATCAAATGTCTAGGTGCTCTCCTGTCCCTGGGCCCCTGCAGTCGTATTGTAGCTGTGTGACTAGATCTGTCCAATGAAATGTGAGACAGAAGTACTGTGTCCTTTCTGAACCCAGACAGTTATGACTGCTATTCTTCCAACCCCCTCAAAGCTGTCCTTGACACTTCACTATTCATTTTCTCACAACAAATTTCTCCACAAATCATGCTATCTACCTTTGAGATACATCCAGAATTGGACCACTTCTCACCATCTGATGTACTTCCACCTCAGTTCAAACTTCCACCATCTTTCATCTTGAATATTGCAGTTGTTTTCTAATTGACTTACCCATTTACCTCTCACTCCCCTCGAGTCAGAGTTGGATTATGTAATTCCTCCAATGGCTTCCCATTTAAACCAGAATAAAATATGAAGTCCTTGTCAGAGCCCTCAGGGTTCTAGAAAACCTGCTGTTCTCTGACTGCCATACCAGCCTCATCACTGTCCCGGGAATATGCATGCCCATTTCTAACCTAGAGTTGTTTCTATTATTGTTCTTCCACTGGAACAATCTTTCTCCAATATGAACATGACCCTCCCTACTTCATTAAAGTCTCTGCTCTAATGTCCCCATATCAGAGAGGCCTTCCCTGAACACACTATAAAATAGCACCCCATCTCTCTCTAGCTTTCCCTCTTCCATTTCCTTTCTTCATTGTGTTTGTTACCATGTGACATATTGAATATTTATTTGTTTTTTTATTGCTTGTGTTTCCCAACTAGAATGTGTAAGCTTCATGAGAGTGGTCATTTAGTTGTCACCAGAAAATCACCTGTTCTCTACCATGATTCTTCTTACTCAAACTTAGAGCTAAACGAGGCGTACTGAACAATTATTGGAAGAAGCAAGACCTTAATCAACCACTCATGTTTTGTAGGAATCTGAGTTACCAAGATCTTTCCTATGTAGATTTATATCCCTTTGGCTTTCGATATATAGGTGAAATTATGATTCCAATGTTCTGATTTGTCAAACAAGTCTTATCTAATTTGTCTCTAGGGTCAGAGAAAGAAATTTGAAAATTAGAAGAAATTTCCTTCAGTTACCTTCTGGTCATCCCCTGCCTCCCTTCAGTGTTCCTTTACCATTTGTAGCACCTTGGAGTCTCTGGGGTCCTTAAGTTATGGTTACTTTACCTTTCAGAAAAGCTAATTTTCCTATATCCTATCCTAGTAGGGCTCTAGTTTCCATCTCAAAACTCATTTAGTTACAAAATTTCCTGCTCATAAGATATTTATTAATCATATATTTTTACAACATATCCATTTACAGAAGAAATTTGAACTTTCCTACAACAAAGGCTATGGGCACAGTTGTTGTTGTTAGGTGCTGTTGAGTAAATTTTGACTCACAGCAACCGCATGTAACAGAGTAGAACTGTCTCGTAGGGTTTTTTTTTTTTTTTTTT